TAAAGTTTTGGCAGGATTTTTTTTGGCCTTTTTAGGAGCTTTTTTGCCTTTCTTATTTTTTTCCTTTTTCAGTTATTTTTTGCATTTTCTAGTTTTTTGGTTTTTTGTTTTTTTTTGAGGGGGTTTTGGCCTGTTTTAGATTTTTTTGGGATTTTTTTGCCTTTTTTACCATTTTTGGGGGGGTGCTTTGGCCTCTTTTAGGTTTTTTTTTTTGGCCTTTTCTAGTTCTTATTGAATTTTTTGGACCATTTTTAGTTGGTTTTTTTTCTCCCTGCCTTCCCCCAGCAGCCTGGCTCTGTCTGTGCCCGTGGACCCAGGCTGTGGTCACTCCTCTCCACAGGAGCTTTGTTCCCTGCAGGGTCCCCACAGCCTCCCAGTGCTTTGTAACATTTAAATGCAGAAAGCTGCCAGGACCCCACAGGTCCTGCTCCTCGCAGCCAGCTGAGCTCTGCAGAAATCTCCTTCTTTTCCTTCCCCAAAGATGCTTTTTCTGCCTTTCTCCAGGAGCAGCCCTGTCCTAGAGCTAAAATTATATATATTAGACTACATATATATTATACATATTAGACATATATCATAGAACATACAATATATATTAGCCTGTATATATTATATATCTTAGACATGTATTATATAATATATTTTAGGCTATATATTATATATATAATATTAGACATATTATATATATTAGACTACATATATATTATATATATTAGACATCTATTATATTAGATTATATATTATATATGTTAGATATATATAATATTGAACATATATATTAGAGTATATATATTATATATGGTAGACATATATTAGACATATTATATAATAAATTATATATATTAGACTATATATTATATTAGACATATGTAATATATTATATATATTAGACTATATATATTATATTAGACATATGTAATATAATATATATATTAGACTATATATTAGACAATACATAATATAATATATATATTAGTAGACTATATATATATATATATTTGCACAGGTGGTGTTTGCAGGTGACATTTGCAGGCAGGAAGTGCAGAGGGACATCCAGCACATCCCCACTGCCATTCCTGTGCTCTGTGTGCTCCAGGCAGGGTGGGGAACAGGAGAGATTTTGGGCAATAAAAGCAGGGCAGTGAGGTTTGCGTGGCTCCCAGGGGTGTTTTTAAATGTGCCTGTGAGGGGTTCAGGAGTGGTTTTGTGTTTTCAGTGCTCCCCTGTAAGGCTGCTTACCCTGCAATTGCTCTTTGGTCTTTTTCCTAAATAACTGTGGCTGCCTCTGTCCCTCTCCCCAGGGCAGCTGGAGAGGCAGAGGAGTTAGGAAGGGCCTGAGTTAACACAGGTAGCAGGGAAAGGTGGCCCAGTGGCTGGGGTTTGGATTAAAAAAAAAATTATTATTATTATTATTGTTGTAATTGTTATTATTATTATTATGGCTGAGAGCCTTTGCTGTGTCTTGCAAATATATGTATATAATATTATACTATATAATATATTATTATAGTACTATATTATTATAATAATATATAGAATAGATATCATTCTATAATGTACATAATTCTCTTATATAGATAAAATTTTATATATACAATTTTTATATATACACTATTTATATATAGATACAATTTATATATATAGATACTATGTGTGTATATATATATTCACACAATTTTAATATATATATATTTGCAAAACACAGCAAAAGCTCTCAGCTGAGACTGACTAAACTTCACTCAAATCTGCCAAAAACTGCAAGTATTGGGCAAAGCCTCTCCATCTTTCCCTGTTTTGGCCTCTGGGTGTGTAAACATTTTGTCACTGGGGACTCTCTGGGGGATTTTTCACTGAAAGTTGCTGGCTCAGGGCTGTTTTCTCAGCCTGTGGTCACTGCTGCAAATGTCACAAGTGGGAGAATTCCCACTGCAGAATTCCCAGTGTGGCAGCAGGGAGGGCACTGGGGTGTCTGCTCAGGGCAGTGCCAGGTGCCAGAGGTGGCACTGAGCCCACAGCAAAGGCTGGCATCACCCACCTGAGATTTGCTGGTTTTATTGGAGGTGCTTTGGTGAGATTTACTGGTTTTATTGGATGTGTTTTGGTGAGATTTGCTGGTTTTATTGGATGTGTTTTGGTGAGATTTGCTGGTTTTATTGGAGGTGCTTTGGTGAGATTTGCTGGTTTTATTATTGAATGTGTTTTGGTGAGATTTACTGGTTTTATTATTGAATGTGCTTTGGTGAGATTTGCTGGTTTTATTATTGAATGTGCTTTGTAGAGATTTGCTGGTTTTATTGAGTGTGTTTTGGTGAGATTTGCTGGTTTTATTGAGTGTGTTTTGGGATGTGCTGGTTTTTTTATTGAATGTGTTTTGGTGAGATGTGCTGGTTTTTTTATTGAATGTGCTTTGGTGAGATGTGCTGGTTTCACTGAATGTGCTTTAATCTTGCAGCACTGGGATGTCTTCAAACACGTCACTGAGGTGTTCATCTTGGTTCCTGCTCTGCTGGGGCTGAAGGGGAACCTGGAGATGACCCTGGCATCCCGCCTGTCCACAGCTGTGAGTGCCCAGGAGCTGGGGAGGGACAGGACACCTGCTTTGGGAAGGGTTGTGTGTGTGTGTGGGGGGGTAAAATTCCCAAATTTCCCCATGTGAGTGACCCCAGAGCTGGGGGTTCAGCTGCTGGGAAGGTTTTACACCCTGCTGGCCGATGGGGTTTGAAGGGTTAATGGTCCTGGAGCTTTGCTGGCAGCTGGCTGGGATCCAGCTGTTCCACCAGGAACCGGGCACAGGAGTGTCACCAGAGCAGCTGGCAGGAGCCAGGGCAGGAGGGGACCTGGGGACAGCTGGGGAGCAGAGGGGGGCTGGCAGGGGAGTGACAGGCTCTGCAGGGGATGGAGCTCACTGCTGGGTGTTTGTCCTGCTGGAATTCACTCTGGCCAGGGGGCTGAATCAAATGTAGGGCTGAATCAAATGTGGGGCTGAATCAAATATAGGGTTTAATCAAATACAGGCTTTAATCAAATGTGGAGTTGAATCAAATGATCTTCTAGCACTTGTTAGTTTTATTTACTTGCTTTTGCCATGCAGGTATGCCTGTAGATCAACCCAAAATGAGTTAGGGTTGCTTTAGCCACGTCAACAGGCTCCAACAGTGTGTTTAACCAGTTGTAGCCCAGACAAACCCTTTGTGACCTGTTTGGTGGGTGTGCCAGTGCCAGCCAAGGAGTGGCCAGTGCCCAGTTGTGACAGTTATTGCTGTGAGGCTGCCAACGAGACAAATGCCACCAAAAAATTCTGCTGGGCTCATTCCCTTCCTCTGAGCCCTGCCCTTGCTGCAGGAGAAGGCACAGCAGAGCTGCTCAGGGTTCTCTGCATCTCTGGCAGCTCCTGTCCCTCTCCTGTCCCTGTCCTGTCCCTCTCCTGTCCCTCTCCTCCTCAGGCTCTGGGGGCACAGAGCTGCTGGGCCAGCCTGCAGGGACAGAGGCTGAGCTTTGTTCACCCCTTCTCTCTGGGAAACAAACAAACAATTCCCTTTGTTTGGCTCCCTCTCCATGGCTGGGATCCTTGGATCCTTGCTGTCCTGGCCACGGGGACCTTGTCCCTCCTGGCCAGGGCTGCTCAGGGTCACTGCTGGCACTCGTGTGTCCCCTCCTGGGGCTGGCAGGGGCAGCTCTGGGGCAGCTTTGGCACAGGAGCCGGGCTGTGGCAGGTCAGGAGTGCAGAACTTTGCCCCATCTGCCCTGGTGGCTGCAGGGGGGTCACGGGGACACCAGCACAGGGTCCTGTCCTGCTGCTGTCCCCAGGCTGACCCCAGAGGCTCTGGCCTCTGCCTCCCCTCCTTCAAATCATGGAACCAGGGGTCATTAAGGCTGCAGGACACCTCCAGGACCATCCAAGAGCCTCCCCGTGCCTGTGCCTGGTGGCACAGGGGCATCTCTGGTCCCAGATGTGTGTGGGGACAGACACACACCTGTGTGGGGACAGACACACACCTGTGTGGGTCTCCCCGGGGTGGGTCCCAAGTGTTACATTCATATTTTCCAAAAAAATCTCCTTGTTTAAGATTTTTCTTCTAAGAAGCTGAGAAGCTTCAGAGAAAAAAGGAGAACATTAATTATTTCATTGCTTTTTCTGTGTTCTACTGCTTTAGGATGTGTTTGGGGATTGTTTATCTGACAGGTGATTGTTTCATTGGTTTCATGTGAATTGTTTTGACTCATTGACCAGTTGGGGCCAAGCTGTGTCAGGCTCTGGAAAGAGTCATAAGTATTATTTAATATAATATAGTATCTTAAAATAATAAATTAGCCTTCTGAGAGCATGGAGTCAGATTTTTCATTCCTTCCTTCGTCCCACAAATGCAATGCCCCAGCTCTCCCCACAGCCTGGAGTGCTTTCTCAGGCTTTGGGTTTCTAATTAGTGCTGCCTTAAGGCACCTCAGAAATTCCTTTCACAATTAAGAGGCAAAACTCCCCCATTAGTTAAAGGATTAAGGGACTACAGAGAGGTTATGCTAATCCCAGCCTAATTGCCATGGGGCTGGAATTTTAAGGTCAGGCTTCATATGGAGCTCGAATTCCTGTGCTGGATGTGCTGCTCCAGTCAACTTTTTGGGGTTTTTTTCCCCCATTCCTTCCTCCTCTGTGCCCAGAACGATTTGCCCCAGAGGTGGGAGCAGCTCAGTAAAGCACATCCAGCAAGGAGAGCAGGGGCATTAATTAACCAATGGTTTCTGGGTTTCTTGTTTTCTTTTCCACCTGAGAGGAGGAAATTGCTGCTGTGCTGTTGTGCACAAGTTTGAAGAAGTTTGGGATGCAGTGCTGTAGGTTTGTGTGTGTAGCATGATTAGCTAAGAAAGCTTACACTGTAGCAGGAGTCCATAAGATGAAATATTTTAAGATTGGGTCAAAAACATAAATATCCTTGTTTGCAGTGTTTTGTTGGTTAATAAATCCTTAAAAGGTCTTGTAACTAAAGGTCTTGAGACCTTTTGAGCCACGCAGTGAGGATGTGAGCTGAACTCACCCTTCCTGTCTGAGTAGAAGACAAGAAAAATAAATCCCATCATCTAAAAAACTCAGAGGTCCCATCTCTAACTCCTTCAAAATTCAAAATGCATTCCTTCAAAATGCACCTCCAAAGTGCGCTTCCCACTCCAGTGTTTGAGCCTCTCCCTTGTTTCCTGAGTTCATCAGCTGCTAATGATGCAAATTGGGTATAAACTCACCCATTCTTCCCATAAAGACCCTGGAGGTGGCAGGGAGGAGCAGAGTTCATGCCCTGCAGCGATTCCTCTGGCTTATTTAGGATCCTACACCAGGAATTAAAGCAATTTCCACCTCCTGGTCCTGCTTGGTATCACCCACAGTGATATTTACTGGGTTATTTTTTATCCTGGTCATCCTGCTCAGCCTCTCCTGGTGCCAGGTGCCCCCTGTGCCAGGGCTGCCAGCTCCTCCCCGTGTCCCCAGGTGGCTCCAGCCTTGTTTGCTCAGCTTTTCCCTTTGGAAAGCAAAGGGAAGGAGCAAAGCAAAGGCTTTGCTGCCAGCTGTGCTGCTGCTCTGGGGGCAGGGGCTGACCTGGGGCTCTGCACCCCTGCCTGGGGCAGCCTGACCCAGCTGGGCCCCAGCCAGGGTGGCTGAGAGAGCCATGGACAGTGCAGTGTGTGGCTGCAGGGGCACACCGAGATCTCGTCGGTTTTGCAGCATTCCCATCAGATTTTTGGTTGGTGACACCAAAATTTTTGGATTTTTTGTTGGTGTTGGTTCCGCTCCGCGCTCCCTTTTCTGCTGAGTTATTCTCCTGTAAGAGCTCAGGGTTTGAGGTCCCCTCCTGCTCCTGGCAGGCAGGAATTTGGCTGTTAGCAGGTGTGAAGGGCTGCCAGGCTGTAATGGTGTCTGATTTCCTCTTACAGGCTAATATTGGCCAAATGGATACACCCAAAGAGCTCTGGAAGATGATTACAGGGAACATGGCTCTGATACAGGTGGGCAGAGGGAAGGGGAATATTGACATTTAAATGTCTGGGATTTGCTGTTTGCTGCCAGTATTCTGTGTGTGATGGGGAGGCAGGTGGTCCTGCAGGGTGGACTGGGTGTTTCCATGCTGGATTCTGATCCCCCTGGGTGGGGTTTCCCTCTTGGAATCATGGAATAAAATCATGGAATGGTTTGGGTTGGAAGGGACCTTAAAGCTCATCCGTTTCTCATGGAAACAGCAACACCTTCCACTATCCCAGGCTGCTCCAACCTGGCCATGGACACTTGCAAGGATGAGGCAGCCACAGCTTCTCTGGGCAGCCTCTCACAGAATGACCAGGTTGGAAGAGACCTCGAAGATCATCGAGTCCAGCCCAGCCCCAACACCTCAACTGAACCCTGGCACTGAGTGCCACATCCAGGCTTGGTTAAACACACCCAGGGATGGTGACTGCACCACCTCCCTCGGCAGCCATTCCAGAACTTCATCACTCTTTCCATGAAACCTTCTTCCTAACATCCAGTCTGAATTTCCCTTGGTGCAGCTGGAGGCTGTGTGCTCTGGTTGTGTCAGTTCCTGCAGAAAGAGCCCAGCCCAGCTGAGCACAGGCACCTTTCAGGAGCTGTGCAGAGTGATGAGGGCACCCCTGAGTCTCCTTTTCTCCAGGCTGAGCACCCCCAGTTCCCTCGGTGGTTCCTCAGAGGGTTTTTGTGTTCCCAGCCCCTCTCCAGCCTCATTGCCTCCTCTGGATGTGCTCAGGCTCTCCCCACCCCTGGGGCTGCCCTGGTGCCTTGGTGACTGTGCTTTCATTTCCAGGTCCAGGCCACCGTGGTTGGCTTCCTGGCCTCGATTGCAGCCGTGGTGTTTGGGTGGATCCCAGATGGGCACTTCAGCATGGACCACGCTGTGCTGCTGTGTGCCAGCAGCGTGGCCACTGCCTTCATTGCCTCCCTGGTCCTGGGTGAGAGCCACCCCTCTGCTGTGCACCTCTTCCTGAAGTATTAACCTCCCCTTGCCTTAATCCTGTTTTTTTCTGGCCTCTTTCTGTTTGCAGGCATGATTATGATTGGGGTGATCATTGGCTCCAGGAAGATGGGAATCAATCCTGACAACGTGGCCACGCCGATCGCTGCCAGCCTGGGGGACCTCATCACCCTGGCTCTGCTCTCAGGGATCAGCTGGGGCTTGTACAAGGAGCTGGGTGAGGAGCAGCCAAAGGCTCAGTCTCTGCCTGGTCCTTGTTGTGTCTCCCTCTCATTTCACCCTCTTCCTCTGGAATCATCTTCCTTGGGCTGTGTGGGGTTCCTGCTCTGGAGCTCCCTCAGTTGGGCTTAGTTCAGGTTAGGGGAGGGGATGGAGCTTCTCTCTGCCTTGTCCACCTCCAGCTGAGGTGCTCAGGGAGAGGCTGGCCCTTTCCAGGGGCTTGGCTGGGGCTGCAGCAGTGGGAGAAGGCAGATTTGGATTCCATCTGCTGAGCTGTCAGCTCCAGCTGGGGATCCTCAGGGCAGGGCTGCAGCTGCAGACTCCCAATTTCCTCCTCCTTCGTCCTCCTCCTCCTCCTTCCTTCCCTGGGACACGGGGCTGGGACTCAGCCAGGTTCATCCAGGGGTGAAGGCAGCAGCACTGGGAGATCCTGCCCCGGAGTGGGCAGTGGGGATGAGAGCTGGAATTGCAGAGATCTCACTGAGATCTGCTGGTAAACACATCCAAGTGTTTTATTTTACAGGCTACAGCTGTGACAGTGAACCACCACATCTGCACTTTCCCTGCTCCTTCTGGAGCTCCTGAAGGACATGGCCTTGATTTTTCTGCTTCTTTTTCTCCTTGTCCCCCCTGCCCAGAGAGCAGAGCCTACATGAACCCCTTGGTGTGCGCCTTCTTCCTGTCCCTGCTGCCCATCTGGATCATCATTGCCAGGAAGAATTCTGCCACGAGGGAGGTGCTCTACTCGGGCTGGGAGCCTGTCATCATCGCCATGGCCATCAGCAGGTGGGCCTGGCCCTGGCCCTGTCCCCAGAGCCCCCAGGGTTGTCCCAGCACTGACCTCCCCTCTCCCCCTGCAGCGTCGGGGGGCTGATTTTGGACAGGACGGTGTCGGACCCCAACTTTGCTGGGATGGCAGTTTTCACCCCAGTCATCAATGGTGAGTCCTGCCCTGCCCTGGGCTGCAGCTCTTGGCAGACTGGGGTTGTCTGGGACTTCAGGACACTCAGTCTCCTCTGGGGTACACCCTGTGCCACTCTGTCACCCTTTGCTCTTGGCAGACTGGGGTTGTCTGGGACTTCAGGACACTCATTCCCTTTTGGGGAGCCAGGGGCACACAGGTTTGGCTGTCCCCATGCCACCCTTTGCCCCACTCTTTGCTCTTGGCAAACTGGAGTTATCTGGGATTTCAGGACACTCCTTCTCTTTTGGGACACACATGTCTGGCTGCCCCCTTGCCACCCTGTCACCCTTTGCTCTTGACAAACTGGGATTGTCTGGGATTTCAGGACAGTCATTCCTTGTTGGGGTTCACAGGTTTGGCTCCCCTGTGCCACCCTTTCACTCTTAGCTCATGGCAAACTGGGATTATCTGGGATTTCAGGGCAGTAATTCTCTTTTGGGGCACACAGGTCTGGCTGCCCGCATGGCCCTGGCCCTGTCCCCAGAGCCCCCAGGGTTGTCCCAGCACTGACCTCCCCTCTCCCCCTGCAGCGTCGGGGGGCTGATTTTGGACAGGACGGTGTCGGACCCCAACTTTGCTGGGATGGCAGTTTTCACCCCAGTCATCAATGGTGAGTCCTGCCCTGCCCTGGGCTGCAGCTCTTGGCAGACTGGGGTTGTCTGGGACTTCAGGACACTCAGTCTCCTCTGGGGTACACCCTGTGCCACTCTGTCACCCTTTGCTCTTGGCAGACTGGGGTTGTCTGGGACTTCAGGACACTCATTCCCTTTTGGGGAGCCAGGGGTGCACAGGTTTGGCTGTCCCCATGCCACCCTTTGCCCCACTCTTTGCTCTTGGCAAACTGGAGTTATCTGGGATTTCAGGACACTCCTTCTCTTTTGGGACACACATGTCTGGCTGCCCTGTGCCACCCTTTCACTCTTAGCTCATGGCAACCTGGGATTATCTGGGATTTCAGGGCAGTAATTCTCTTTTGGGGCACACAGGTCTGGCTGCCCCCATGCCACTTTTTCAGGTGATAGGCCTGGGAGGCTATTCCCTAAAAATCCACATTTCCATGGACTTCTTAATTTCCTTATTCCTCCTGTCTGGTGGAACACCCCCATCTTCTAAAACATGTGCCTTGTGGCACCTGGCAGCACAAAGATTTGTATTTGTGCCTTGGAGTCAGGAAATCTGACTGGTTCTGGTGCAAAGTTTTCACTTCCTTTTTGCCTGATGAACCAGGAAGGATCATTTTAATTTTTTTTTTTTTTTTTTTTTTGCAGTAGGTGGAGTTAATTCTCAGCCAGTGCATCCTGTGCTGGTGGCTTTCACAGTTTCATGTGAAAAATAATAGCTTTGAACTTCCTGTGTGTGTTTTGTTGCCTGACTCATCATTTTTCTTCCACCCCGAGCTGCAGTAACAGAACTGCTTCACTTTTACTCAGGGGCCTGAGAGGAAAAGCCACAGCTTTGTCCCAGCTCCTCATATCCTGCAAAAGTGGAATTGGGGTCAAAACCAGGCTGTCCTACATAATTCCAGCACCTGGCACTTGCAGACCTGCTGGCTGCTGGGGGCAGCTCCTGGAGGTGTCTGGGCCATCCCCTGGGTGCTGTTTGTGCCCTGCAGCTGTGTGTTGGAGTTGACATGGTCACAATACAAAGCCACACTCTCATTTTCAGAAGGCTTCAAACCCCATTTTATTCTAGCATGCATGCTTTTTATACATTCTTACAAAACTCATAAGTTTATACTTTACTCATTGGTCAGGAAAGATAAATAAAGTGCTCATTGGAATAGGCAGTTGCAGATTTCTCTTCTTTTTCCCCCCCTTCTTCTTTTCCCCCCCTTCTTCTTTTTCCCCCCCTTCTTCTTTTTCCCCCCCTTCTTCTTTTTCCCCCCTTCTTCTTTTTCCCCCCACCTTCTTTTTCCCCCCACCTTCTTTTCCCCTTCTTCTTTTTCCCCCCTCCTTCTTTTCCCCCTTCTTTTCTCTTCTTCTTTTCCCCCCTTCTTTTTCCTCCCCCTTCTTTCCCCCCTCCTTATTTTTTCCCCCTTCCTTCCCCTTATTCTTTCTTTCTTGATTTCCACGTCAACCACCTTGGTGGGAAATTCTCCCAGGGCTAAACACAGACCCTCTTCTCAAACCTCTCTGCCTCTCAGCAGCTGCTGTAAAACCTCTTCCACAGGTGTGGGTGGCAACCTGGTGGCCGTGCAGGCCAGCCGCATCTCCACCTACCTGCACATGAGCGGGGAGCCCGGAGACAGCCCTGGGACAGCCCCTCGGAAGTGCCCCAGCCCCTGCAGCACCTTCTGCGGCTCAGGTACAGCCCTGAGGGCAGGCTTGGTGCCAGCTGGGCTCCCTGGGCCGGGGGCTGCAGCCTTGGCATGGCAGAGGGGGCCCAGCCCTGCTCAGGGTCAGGCTGGAGCTTCCCTGCCCCATCCAGGGCTCTGCTGGGGGGAGATGTGGGTGTGGGGTGTCCTGAGCTGGAAGGGGATTTGTGCATGGCTGGGTTTGAACAGACAGGTTCTGTTAAGGAGGGCGGGAGACCCTCCTGAAATGGGAAATGTAAACCCCCTCCCTCTGAATTGTTATAGTTTTGAAATTAAGGGGCTCTCGGGTAAAGATGTGGGAGCAGGAGTAACAGTTATTAGGAAAACTAAAAAAATACAAATGTAATAGCACAAACATCAACAAAAAAACTCCCTGGCCATGGACAGAAGATAATTAATAATTAATGGCCCATGAACAGCAGAGATCTCCTGGAGGGAGGATTGGTTTGTGGAAGAGGTAAAGCAAACTGCCCAACGAACAGCAGATAAGTGCCCACCTCTGACAGATGGGGATGGAGCACACACATTGCTTTGCAATCTAGGACAGTGGAAAAAACCTCCACAACTTGTTAAAGTTGCAAAGTTGGTATGATTTATTTCAATGCTGGATACATGCTCCTTAAGGACATGTGCACTCCTGAAAATTCTTGGGTGTCCTTTATCTTCTAACCTGTTGCATATGCATAAAATATATATGCATGTGCATTAAACTGGTTTATTAATTTTATGGGTCTGTGCAGTTTTTTAGTCATGTAGTTATAATGTGGTGCTTATAGATCAGATTTAGATTTTGCTTGTTTTAGTCTCAAGGTTAGTGGGGGCCTCTTTTTATCTCTCTTTAGTATTCTTTTCTGAGTAGTTTCGAGTCTTCTTTGTTCTCCCTCTGTAGGTATTTTTGTGAGTACACAAGTTAAAAGACTAAACAAAAAATCCAAAATTGGTCTGTACCCCGAGTTAAATTTCTAACCCCCCATTTCAGAAGGGACCCACAGGATCATCCAGTGCAGCTCCTGGCCCTGCACAGACACCCCAAAATCCCTGCCAGCCTGCAGCCTTGGGTCGTGGGGTCACGGAATGGTTTGGGTGGGAGGGGACCTTCAGTCTCACCCAGTGCCACCCCCTGCCATGGGCAGGACACCTTCCACTAGCCCAGCTTGCTGCCAAGCCCTGCCCAAGCTGGTTTTGGGCACTTGCAGGGTCTGAAGCAGGCCTGATGTCCCCTTTGCAGACGTGAACTCCCGCTCTGCCCGCGTGCTCTTCCTCCTGGTGGTGCCCGGGCACTTGGTGTTCCTCTACACCATCCACTCCATGCAGGGGGGACACACCACGCTCACCCTCATCTTCATCGTGTTCTACATGACAGCAGCGCTGCTCCAGGTGAGCTGGGACCCCCGGGGGGCTGGGCTGGCTCGGGGGACACGGGTGGCACCTGCACTGGGGACTGCTCGGAGGGAGAGACCCTGTCCCTGCCCGGAGATCCTGTGCTGGGCAGGGGGACCCTCGGGAACCCTTTGTGGACACCTGTGCTCACAGTTCTTCCATCCTGCCATTCGTGGGGAGTTCACAATCTGCCTTTTGTCTCTTTTGAGTCTTTTTGATAGCCAAAGTGTTTCTGTCCCGGGGGTGATCTGGCAATTTGAAAAGGCCTGGTGATGAAAGGAGGATGTGGAATTTTGCAGGGAATGTGTGCCCTGTGCTGCCCTTTGCCCTGGCACAGCCTGGAGCTGGGGGAGCCCACAGGGCTCTGAGGGACACACCAAAGGCTTGAGAGCATCCACTGCAGATTTCGTTGTGCCCACGGGGTTGTTGTGGTGTTGTTGTGGCTATGGGGTGGTTGTTCCTGCGGGGTTGTTGTAGTTATGGGATGGTGGTGGCCCATGGGGTTGTTGTGCCCAGGGGGTTGTTGTTGTTCCCATGGAGTTGTTGTGCTCACAGGGTTGTTCTGTCCCATGGGGTGGTTGTTCCCATGGGGTTGTTGTGCCCATGGACTGGTTGTTGTGCCCATGGGGTTGTGTCCGTGGGGTTGTTGTTCCCAGGGGGTTGTTGTGCCCATGAGGTTATTGTACCTGTGGGGCTGTTGTGCCCGTGGGATTGTTGTGTCCGTGGGGCTGTTGTTCCCTTGGAGTGGTTGTGCCCATGGGGTTGTTTCTGTGAGGTTGTTGTGCCCCTAGGGCTGTGCTCCCAGGGCCAGGCAGAGCTGCTGTGGGGTTGTTGTTCCCATGGGGTTGTTGTGCCCCTGGGGCTGTTATTCCCATGGGGTTGTTGTGCCCATGGGGCTGTTATTCCCCTGGGGTGGTTGTGCCTGTGGGGCTGTGCTCCCAGGGCCAGGCAGAGCTGCTGTGGGGCTGTTATTCCCATGGGGTGGTTGTGCCTGTGGGGTTGTTGTTTCTGTGAGGTTGTTGTGCCCCTGGGGCTGTGCTCCCTGGGCCAGGCAGAGCTGCAGTGGGGTTGTTGTTCCCGTGGGGTGGTTGTGCCCCTGGGGCTGTTATTCCCCTGGGGTTGTTGTGCCCACGGGGTGGTTGTGCCCCTGGGGCTGTTGTGCCCCTGGGGCTGTTGTGCCCCTGGGGCTGTGCTCCCTGGGCCAGGCAGAGCTGCAGTGGGGCTGCAGGGCTCAGGGGCTGTGCTGCCGTGGCTCTTGCAGGTGCTGATCCTGCTCTACATCGCTGACTGGATGGTGCACTGGATGTGGGGCAGGCACCTGGACCCCGACAACTTCTCCATCCCGTACCTGACAGCCCTGGGGGACCTGATTGGGACAGGGCTGCTGGCCCTCAGCTTCCACGTGCTCTGGCTCATCGGTGACCGGGACTCTGATGTTGGGGATTAAATCTCCCTGCTCCTCCCTTCCCACAGCTCTCCTCCTTCCATTTGTTGTTTCTTTGCTTCCCCCTCCTGCCACCGCCCTGGAAGATTTCACCTTTGATACTGGATTCTCATTATTTTCAATGGGAATTTTACCTGGTTTATATTTCAAGCCGAGTTTGTACAGAAGAATCTACCTAGTTTTGGGAAGGACAAACAAACAAACAAAAAGTGTAACGAGACAATCACTAAGTGCAATTTTCGTAGCAGTTATGTCTGAACCAAGGTTCCAGAGAAGTTCCTGCCCGGTCAGATCCTGCAGGGAGCCCCCCCTGCCCCTCCCTCGAGGTTGAAGTGCTGCTTTTTTCGCTTCATAAGCGTTTTAAACCCTGCGGGTGGAGCTCGGGTGTGTTCAGCTGAGCTGGCACCTTCCAGCCAAGCACAGCCCGTGGCTCAGGGCACGGGGTGCCCCTGCCTTGGCTCTCTGAAGCTCCAGCCTGGGCCCACACCCAAAAACGGGGCGTGTCTGTGAGGGGGATGAGGAGGATGGTGAGGAAGGCTCCTGTGTTCACCCCAGGAATGCGAGTGAGCTCATCTGGGACCCCCAGCCCCTGGCTGGGCTCTGCTGGCACCTCAGGCTCCCTTTTGCCACCCACCCCAGGCTGCAGCACGCTGCTCCTGCCTTGGTGAGCCCAGCTCAGCTGCTCTGAGCCTCACCCAGAGGGGCTGGGAGCTCTCCCCACCCATCACCATCATCATCATCATCACCATCTCCATCCCACTGCCAGAGATCTCTGCAGGCCCTGCTGGAGCCCTCCTGGTGCTGCTCCATTTCCCTGGCTCTCCTCAGTGCAGCTGACGTTCCCAGAGGGGTGGATGGACAAACATCCCCTGGGTTTTGTGCCCAGCTTTCCTTTTGGCTGCTGAGGGCCCCTTGCAGGCAGGAAAAGCCACCCAGCAGCTGCCCCAGCTGAGCCTGGGGTGCTCCCAGCTGGGCAGGAGCATTTTGCTCCTGGTGTCTGTTAGGGAAGGACGTCCTTGGGATTTCTCTGCCAGCTGGAAAGCGGCTGGAAATGCAGAATCACAGGAGCCCTGGCTCTTGGAGCAGGAACAGGAACCTCCTGCCCTTGTGTAAAATCTGGGACTGGGGCTCAGCCCAGCTGGGAGGCCCTGGCTGAGCCCTGGGAGTGCAGGGTTCCTCCTCTGCTGCTTCCCCTCCTGCTTTTTGTGCTCTTCACCTCAGGGAATTCCTGCTCTTCCCCTTAGGCCATGCTGGGAGGGCAGCAAAACCAGAGGGGCAAACCAAGACCAAAGTTAGTCCAGGCTCGTTGTGCCAGGCCAGGATCTGGGAGCAGAGCTGGGCCTGGCTGCAGATGATGCTGTTGGGAAGGAGGGTCAGGATGGAATTCTGGAAATCCAAGGAGCACATGGAGCCAAGCCAGGGCTCCTGGCTGCTCCTGCCCTCTCTGGAGCTCTGCAAACCCTTCCCTGCTGCTGGAGGTGGGCAGGAGGCAGGGCTGGCTGCTCCCCAGAAGAGCAGGTGTTGTATTTTTGAGGTGATTTTCCCCTTTTTCCCCTTGCTAATCCAGCATCAGGCTCAGTCCCCCTCCTCCTGTGTCCGTGTCCCGTGTGGGAGCAGCTCTGATCCTCCTCTGTCCCCTCTGGTGACATTTCTCAGCTCTCCTTTGGCCAAAGCTGTGCTCAAAGGAAAAAACCCAACCACAAAACAAAGCCTGTCCCTGCTGTGCTGAGCTCTCAGCCCAGGGAATCCTGGATGTTTTCTGGAATATTTTCTGGAATATTCTCAGCTGCTCACCTGATTTCTCTGCCTGATGCTGAGGATTAAATGCAAGATTTCCTTCCATTAACACTACAGCTTTTATGGATATAAAGAGAAGCTCTGCTGGCCTTTCTGGTGTCACATCACCACTTAATCCCCCAGGAAAAGATTCCCTAGGGGAGGAATCTGCCCCTCATGGCTGGGGGTTGTGGGGCTGGGGGCGTCTGTACATTAAATATGGTCAGAGGTGTGCTTGGGGAATGGTCAGGGAAGAATTTAATTTAAAAGTGAGGAGTATTGATGGAAAAAAACCAGAAACAAGCCTCTTCCCACTGGTTGCACTCCAATGCATGCCTACTCTACAGCTGCCTGCAGATGAAAATCCTGGTTTACTCTTTTATCAAAGGAAAAAGACTGTCTTAATTATTTATAGTTCCTATAACTGACAGATGTCGACCTAATGGATAAATTATATTTGGTTAAATAAAGATGACATTTATTTATGTGGACTCTGGTGGGTTTTTTTTTTCCCATCAGGTTGAAGGCCCCTTTCAAGTTTTGAGGCTTATTTGAGCTCTCTTTTGATAGGAGAGTTACGAAAATTAAATAAACTGCTGGGCATGAAGCAAGCTGGGATTAGTGTGAGTGCCAGGTGCCCTAGGTCGGGTCCTGGGGGCTCCCAGCAGGAATCCAGGTGCTGGTTCAGGATCCAGGCCCTGCTGCCACGTGGCCTCTGCCTGTTCCTGCTGATTTCATGCAACAAAAGGGTTCTGCCCCTTCTGGGGTGCAGAAAAACCCCTGGAGTTGCAGGAATTGGTGTTTCCTGCAGGGCTGTGCCCCCAAAGCAGAATCCCAAAACGCCAGCCTTGGGTTTGGGGAGCAGCCCCCCAGCCCTGCTGGCTTCTCACACTGGGGTGAATATTGGGGTGAATATTGGGGTGAATATTGGGGTGCTGGGGTACTTCTCCTGCTCTCCTGGGCCTGGGGGGTTCTGTTGGCGTTTCCTCGTTGGGGAAGGGAGCAGGAGGTGCAGGAAGAAGCAGCTGGGCTTGAAGACCTTGGAGAAATCCCAGCAATAAGGGAGCCTTGTTTAAAAATTAAAATCTGATGGGAGAGGTGTTTGCACGTTGTGGGGTGCAGGGAGCATGGGCTGGGGTTCAGGGGTGTCTGGGGCAGGGGAGAGTGGGGATGGGGGTGCAGGGTCTGGATCTGGGGATACAGGGGATGTGCAGGGATGGGGCTGGGGATACAGGGGATGTGCAGGGCTGAGTCTGGGGGTGCACAGAGCAGGGTCCAGGGATACAGGGGATGTGCAGGGCAGAGTTTGAGGGTGTATGGGGCTTGATTTGGGGATGCATGGGCTGAATCTGGGGGTGCACAGGGCTGGGGGTGCACAGAGCAAAATCTGGGGGCACAGGGGATGTGCAGGGCTGGGTCTGGGGGTGCAGGATCAGGATCTGGGAGTGCGCAGAGCAGGGTCTGGGGGTGCACAGAGCAGGATTTGGGGGCGCACAGAGCAGGGTCTGGGGACACAGGGGGCGCACAGAGCAGGGTCTGGGTGTGCAGGATCAGGATCTGGGGGTGCACAGAGCAGGATTTGGGGGCGCACAGAGCAGGATCTGGAGGTGCAGGATCAGGATCTGGGGGCGCACACAGCAGGATCTGCTCCCAGGGGGATGTGCCGGCTGGCTCCGGCGGAAGGCAGCGAACTACAGCTCCCGGCAGCCCCGGGAGGCTGCGGCGCTGCCCCGGCTGAGCCGCACATGACCGAGCGGGGCCGGGCCGGGCCGGGCCGGGATGGGGCAGGATCGGATGTTCAAGGTGCTGGTGGTCGGGGACGCCACGGTGGGCAAGACCTCGCTGGTGCAGCGCTACGCCAACGACAGCTTCAACCGGCACTACAAATCCACCGTGGGGGGTGAGCCCGCCCGGACACCGGGGCTACCGGGGCTACCGGGGTGTACCGGGGCTACCGGGGGGTACCGGGGGGTACCGGGGCTACCGGGGCTACCGGGGGGTACCGGGGGGGACCGGGGGGTTCTCGGGGGTTACCAGGGGGTTCTCAGGGGGTACCGGGGGGTTAATCGGGGGGTACCGGGGGTTACTGGGGAGTTCCGGGGGTTATCGGGAGTTCTTGGGGTTTACCGGGAGGGGAGATTCTCGGGGGTTCCCTTGGGTTCTTGGGGGTTACTGAGGGGTTCCCGGGGGGCTCTCGGTGCTTTCCAGGGGTTCCCCGGGGGTTCCCAGCGGTTCCCGGGGGTTCCCGGGCTCCGGCACCGTGCCCATCCCGGTGCCCATCCCCAGCCCGCGCCGCGCCCCTCGTCCCGGGGGACTCCCCGCTCTCCCCCGTCCTCCCTGGGCGGTGGGGCTGGGAGTTTGGGGTGGGAACAGCCATGTACCGTCGGTGGTTTGTGAGGTATTCACTGCCAGAGCCTCTTCCCTGAGCCACCCGGGGATCCTGTCCCTCTGCCAGGCTCGTTTGGGGTGCCCCTGCCCCTTGGAATAGCCACCCCAGGAGCTGCGGGATGGACAGGCTGAGGTTATGGGCTCAGATCATCCCAGTAAAACCATCAGCAGCGCTGGTTTGGCATTAATTGAACAGCCCTGAGCCCCCAGGAGCTTCTGCCTGACTCATTTGGGGTGTCCCATCCTTCTCCCGCCCCCTGGAATAGCCACCCCGGGAGCTGTAGGATGGATAGGCTGAGGTTCCAGGCTCAGCTTATCCAGTAAAACCAGCAGCCACACTGGTTTGGCGTTAACTGAACAGCCCTGAGCCCCCAGGAGCTTCTGCCTGACTCATTTGGGGTGTCCCATCCTTCTCCCACGCCCTGGAATAGCCACCCCAGGAGCAGCAAAATGGATAATTTGAGGTTATAGGGTCAGCTTATCCCAGTAAAACCATCATCAGCGCTGGTTTGGCTTTAGTTAAACAGCCTGGCCTCCTGCGGAGGGGTCAGCAGCTCTTGGGAAGCTCTGGGAGGAGGGAATGGGGCTGAGCAGGATTTTGGTTCTTTGTGTGAATGAATAACCTGGAAGGAGCAGGAGCTGCCAAGGCTTTACCCAGGAAATCTCCCCAAGGAGCCAAAACTGGGGGTGTTGAGCACAGCTGTTTAAATCTTCTTATTCCTGACCTGAGAGGGGATGGATCAGCGGTGAAAACTGGAGAGGCACAGAGCTCTGGGCTGTGCCCTGGTCTCTGCCTGCAGCAAATGCTGCAGGCTGGTTCATGGGACTTTTCTTTTTGTACTTTGTTCCTGGTTTTGGTCACTTCCAGCCCAGCTAGGTCTGGCTGCCAGGTTGAAACCCTGACACATCAGGATGTGAGAACAGCACAGGGCTTCCCCTTTTGACTCACTGGTGGCAGCAAATGTGGGGTGATTCAGCTTGGAAGGGACCTCAGGGCTTCTCTGACCCCATAAACAGGGACACCTTTCCCTGTGCCAGGTTGCTCCAAGCTCCATCCAGCCTGGAATTGTGCTTGGCTGGTGACCCAGGTGCAGGATTTGGGGTGGCCCCGTGGCTGGGCTGGGGCTCTGGCAGATGGGGAGAGGCTGTGCAGGAGCAGCCCCGAGGTGCAGAATGGCCCTGAGCAGCTTTCCTTCCTGCTGTTTTGGGAATTCTCCAGTGGATTTTGCTCTGAAGGTGGTTCAGTGGTCGGAGTCGGAGACGGTTCGGCTGCAGCTCTGGGACATTGCAGGTATTTGGAAGGGTTTCTAATGTTCTCAATGTTTTGGCCTTTTTTGCCATATTTTCCCTTCCCTTCCCTTCTCTTCCCTTCCCTTCCCTTCCCTTCCCTTCCCTTCCCTTCCCTTTCCCGTTCTTTCCTTTCATATTCCTTTATCTTCCTTTTCCTTCTCCTCCAAAAATAAATCCCAGGTGCCTGTGGGTTCCAGGGGCAGGACTGCTCTGCTTTGCTGCCTCCAGCCTGCTGTAGTAATTTAAATATTTAATTAAAAATCCACCTGTGAGGAATGCACACAGCAATTCCTGCTGGGCCTTTCCCCTCTGTTCCAGAGCCAGAGCAGAGGGAGTGTGGAACTGGCTGGATATGAGACTGCTCAGCTCCAAATTTTGGGTTAAAATCCAAATTTCTGGCACGGGAGACACTCTGAGGGACAGAATTATAAAAGCTGGAGTGGAACAAGTAGCTCCTGTCTCAGGAGCAGGAAAGAACAACAAACCATAATAAAAATAGGCAGTGAAAAGGAAATTTCCTCTCTCAGAAGCAGGAAAGGAAAACAAACCAGTGAAAATATGAAGGAAAAAAAGGGCTCCAGGAATGAATTTCCCAAATTCCCTGGCACCAGGAGAGCTCTGGGCAGCAGCATCTCTAAAATGGCCCCCCTGGATGTGGAGCAGGGAGGAAAACAGGGCTGTGGTTTCCTCTGGGCTGCCTGGAATCCTTAAAATGGCATCAGGAAGGAGAAGTTGGCAGAGTGAGCAACGCAGCAAGAGGCTGCTTTGGCTTCTGGCCTCAAAAAGGAGCTGGAGGCAGAGCTGGCACTGTGCCCGTGTGGTGCCCAGGGACACCCAGGTGGCCCCAGGGCTCCGGGTCACCTGGGGGTGATGCAGATATTGGGGCTGTCCCTGGAGGTGTCACAGAGCCCTGGGGCACCCTGGCACCGTGTGCCCGCTGGGGGTCTTTGGTCCCTTTAACCCAAACAGACTTGGTGTGTGTTTTGTGTGTTTCTCTGTGTATTTTGTGTGTTTCTCTATGAGTTTTGTGTGTTTCTCTGTGGGATTGTGTGTGTTTTGTGTGTTTCTCTCTGTATTTGATGTGTTTCTCTATGGGTTTGTGTGGTTTTGTGTGTTTCTCTGTGTATTTTGTGTGTTTCTCTATGGGTTTTGTGTGTTTCTCTGTGGGTTTGTGTGTTTCTCTGTGTATTTATGTGTTTCTCTATGGGTTTGTGTATTTCTCTGTGTATTTTTTGTGTTTCTTTATGGGTTTTGTGTGTTTCTCTGTGTATTTGATGTGTTTTTCTATGGGTTTGTGTGGTTTTGTGTGTTTCTCTGTGTATTTTATGTGTTTCTTTATGGGTTTTGTGTGTTTCTCTGTGTATTTTATGTGTTTCTTTATGGGTTTTGTGTGTTTCTCTGTGTATTTTTTGTGTTTCTTTATGGATTTTGTGGGTTTTGTGTGTTTCTCTGTGTATTTTATGTGTTTCTCTATGGGTTTGTGTGTATTTTGTGTGTTTGTCTGTGTATTTTATGTGTTTCTCTATGGGTTAGTATGGCTTTTGTGTGTTTCTCTGTGTTTCTCTGTGGGTTTGTGTGTATTTTGTGTGTTTCTCTGTGTGTTTGAGTGTTTCTCTGTGGGTTAGTATGGCTTTTGTGTGTTTCTGTGTGGGGTTCTGTGTGTTTTTTGTGTGTTTCTCTGTTTCTGTGTGGGTTTGTGTGTTTTGTGTGTTTCTCTGTGTATTTTATGTGTTTCTCTATGGGTTAGTATGGCTTTTGTGTGTTTCTGTGTGGGTTTTATGTGGTTTTTGTGTGTTTGTTTCTGTGTGGGTTTGTATGGGTTTTGTGTGTTTCCCTGTGGGTTTGTGTGTATTTAGTGTGTTTCTGTGTGTGTGTTTGTGTTTGTGTGTTTCTCTGTGAGTTTGTATGGTTCTTGTGTGTTTTTGTATGCTTCTCTGTGGGTTTGTATGGTCTTTCTGTGTATTTTGTGTGTTGCTCCATGGGTTTATATGTATGGATTTTGTGTGTTTTTGTGTGTTTCTGTGTGGGATTTTGTGTTTCTCTGTGTGTTTGTGTGGTTTTTGTGTGTTTATCTGTGTGTTTGTGTGCTTCTCTGTGGGGTTTTGTGTGTATTTTGTGTGTTTCTCTGAGTTTCTTTGTGGGTTTGTATGGTTTGTGTGTGTTTCTCTGTGGGTTTGTATGGTTTTTGTATGTTTTTGTGTATTTCTCTGTGGGTTTGTAGAGTTTTTCTGTGTTTTCCTGTGGATTTGTACATTTTTTGTGTGTTTCTCTGTGTGTTTATGTGTTTCTCTGTGGGTTTGTATGGTTTTTGTGTGTTTTTGTGTGTTTTCCTGTGGGTTTGTACAGTTTTTGTGTGTTTCTCTGTGTGTTTATGTGTTTCTCTGTGGGTTTGTATGGTTTTTGTGTGTTTTTGTGTGTTTTCCTGTGGGTTTGTACAGTTTTTGTGTGTTTCTCTGTGTGTTTATGTGTTTCTCTGTGGGTCCATAAGTTTTTTTTTTGTGTTTTTCTGTGTTTCTCCTTGTGTTTTTCCTGCTTCTGTGACCTGACCCCTACCCAGCCCAGCGCCCCCTGTCCATCACACACCCCAAATCCCCCCTCTAACCACAAATCCCTACAGCCAGCTGCAAACCCAACCCCTGAACACCCAACCCACCTGCACCAACCCCAAAACACCAACTCTGGCTGGGTTTTTCCCTCTGCTTTTTGACCCCGAAGGGCAGGAACGCTTCACCTCCATGACCCGGCTGTACTACAGGGAGGCCTCAGCCTGTGTCATCATGTTTGATGTCACCAACGCCAGCACCTTCAGCAACAGCCACAAGTGGAAGCAGGACCTGGACAGCAAGCTGGTGCTGCCAGACGGGAGCGCCGTGCCCTGCCTGCTGCTGGCCAACAAGGTGGGCAGCGTGCCCGGCCGGGCTGGGGGCTCCTCTGCGGGTTTGGGGGGTTCTGTGGGGGGCTTTGCGTGTTTTGTGCGGTTCTCTGTGGATTTGTGTGTGGTTCTCCGTGGGTTTGTGTGGTTTTTGTGTGTTTCTCCATGGGCTTGTATGGTTTTTGTGTGTGGTTCTCCGTGGGTTTGTCTGGTTTTTGTGTGTTTCTCTCTGGGTTTGTGTGTTTTTTTGTGTGGTTCTCTGTGGGTTTGTGTGTGGTTCTGTGTGGGTTTCTGTGGATTTTGTGCGGTTCTCTGTGGGTTTCTATGATTTTTGT